ATACTCTCCGTGCCAGGAGCATTACAAAATATACATGTTTCTTCTAAGGACACCCTTTTTTTTCCACCCCGTGGCCTTTTTTTTCCACCCCTACTATATTTTTTCAACCCCTATACCTTCCATTTTGATCCTGTTGCCTTGGAAACCTTCCTTTTGGACCCCGTCTATGGTGAAAACCATCTTTTGTGACCCCGTTTGTTGTGAAATCATTCTTTTTGACCCCACCTGTTGTGAAAACAACTTTTGTTGACACCAGTGGATTTTTCCACCCCCATACCTTTCATTTGGATCCGTCTGTTGTGAAAACCATCCTTTTTTGACCCCGTCTGATTGACCCAAAATATCTTTTCCACCCCTATACCTTTCATTTCCACCCATATACCTTTCATCTTGACCCTCTGGCTTTTGAAACCGCCGTTTGTGAAAACCATCTTTGTCGACACCACTTTTGTTTCCACCCCATACCTTTCTTTTGACCCTGTGTCCTTGAAAACCTTCCTTTGAACCCCGTCTGTTGTGAAAACAGTCTGTTGCGCAAACATTTTTTTTGTTGCCACCGTCTGTTGTGAAAACAATCCTTTTCGACCCCGTCTGTTGTGAAAACAATCTTTATTTACCACAACTGTTCTTAAAACCCTCCATGCTGACTCCATCAATTTGACCTCGTTGGTTCTCAAAGCCGTCCTCTCTGTTCGCAAAGGCATCCTCTCTTCTCGAGCCACCTATCTTCCCTTAAAACTTTCCCTTTGGAGTCGGAAGTCTTAAGCCATCCAGCTTCCCTGAATCTTGTCCCGTTTGACCCCGTCCGTGACCGCCTGTCTATATAGAGGCTGCCTATTGTACTTTGTGTGTCCTCCACACCCCATCTGGCCGTACAGCTTCACGGCTCTTCAAAATCTTCTTCCCGAGTTTACGCTTTTCTAGTCGCATTTTTTGGCCTTCTCCTGCTTCCTCTGATTCCTCTGTTTGCCCTTACGTAGTATTAATGGATATAACTATTTTTTTGGCCCTACCCTGTTCCCATTCGAGCTGGTTATTCACACACACACACACAGTTGCGTCCGGTCGCTGGTCCAAAATAGCCGCGCGGAGAACTGACAACTTGAGACCTTCCACGGACGCTGCGCCGGCACCTGACAGCGCCAAGACTTCCAACGCCAGACGCGCGGAAGCAGCGAAAGCAATGGGCGCACGATTAATTTGGGATTTGTTCATTGTTTTGCGACAATGTTTCCAAAAACATTGGGATAGAGCAGGTTTCTTATTAGTACCTAGCTAATTACTGCAATTTCGTGTCCTTCGCCAAGAGACAGGTGTCGTAGCTGGCCAAATACATTGGAATAGTGCAGGTTTCACATTAATTGCTAGTTGATTAGAATGATTAGACCAATTTGGGAGATGTCGTAGCTGGCGAAATACATTGGAATAGTGTAGGTGTCCGAGAAAGTCCTACAGCCGCCAAAGCAGAAAAGCAACAAAAGCAAAGAGCAGAAAGACAAGAACACAAAAAGCAGAAAAGCAGCAGAAGCAGAAAGCAGCGAAAAGCAGAAAAGCAACAAAAGCAGCAGAAGCAGAAAAGCAAAAGCAGAAAAGCAAAAAAGCAGCAGAGCAGAAACGCAGCAAAAGCCGAATCCGATAAGATTCGTCCTGGCCTCGCTATCGCGCCGGCCCCTCGGCCCCTGATAACCCTGTCAGGTGGAGCACCAACGGCTAGCGGCGGCTAGCTAGCATGTGCCATGGTAGACGAGTGCACATATCAACTCTCAAGTTTCAAGCAGCAGTTTCTTCTTTCCATCTCTGGCGACGACGTCGCTCACTGACTGTGACTCTCATGTGATTTCCTTGCCGCACCATGGCTCCTTTTGCTCAAATCCGGCTCATGAGAATTTAAGCCTTTTTGGCTTGCTCGCCTCCTGCGTCGCAGATTGCCGCTTGCGCGGGCGACCTGGAGCCCGCACCTCCGGGATGTCGTGCAAATTCACTGCAGCATCGCCTTGCAGCGCTCGCACAAAGAGCACATGCTCGCACTCAGCGTGCATGAGAAAGGTGTGGCAGGAACACACGGCCGCCGGCGCATGCTCGCGCGAAATCTTAAAGAGACGCGGCCATGCCCTTGTGGCCAAGTGCCCTTGAATCACCACACAGTGGATTCCCAGGAGCAGCTCCAGGCGCTCGATGTCAGGCACATGGGGGCGCCCATCTTTGCAAATACCAACACGTTGCAAGGTCTTCAATACCTGGTCTCCTGAGTGTTGCATGGTTCAGTGCAACGCGAACCCACTTGTTTCCGCTTATTTCATGTATCACTCAGAATCTACTAGACGGCCATGTCGGGAATTTGTGGCAAGCAAAAGAAATCTTCTGCGGTAAAGATACCGTTGCTGGTAATCAGGTCGACGATGTCATTCGCAGTCGTCAAAGGGACGGTAGCGGCCGCTGGAGACAACTTCTCAAACTCCTTGGCGCGCATCACATGAAATGTCGTGCTGCCAGTCGGTGGGGTTAGCTCTGCATCAGTGATTCGATGCACCACGGCATAGTTGTGATTGCCGCACAAACGTTGTCCACGAGCCTGCCAAAAATCCACAGCGGTGGAGCGCCCGGTTGACCGTAATGTCTGTCCGTTAAGTAGGTTTTGCGCCGGGGCTGTTGGCCAAGAGCCAAATCGACGGTGCTGACCCCACTCAAAATGCTGAGCCCAATCGTCTGAGTAGAGAGCAGACATCACATCCAACAGCTTCAACGGAGCAGCCCGAATCTTGTTGCGCAACAATGACTGCCAATAACTGTGAAAGGACTCAATGGTTTGTGTGCCAGAACCGGTCCCTGGATACGTGCCCAAAATTCCTGACCAAAACCCGGCGAACAGCACAGAGGATTCGGAACTGCGCGTTGTCACAAAGTGGCGGGGCGCAGCGTCGCCGGGGATCTCGACAAAATATGTCTTTTGCAGATATTTGGTCGCCGCTTTGTGCCCCTTAGACAGAAGCCAAGCGAATGCCTCCCTCCACAAGGTATCAAAGAGCTGAATGCACGGCACCAAACGGGTTACTGTGATAAACCGGTTCAAGAAGGTGAACGCTTGAGCCCCCTCTGCGCCACCCAGGTGTTTGCGCAGGGCTGAGTACGACGCTCTGCGCATGTGCGCGTAGTCATCGCAGGGGCGCGAGCGGGGAAAGACTCGCCGCCGTGCTGCATCGATCCCCTTGGCATAGTCTTTGTGTACCTGAATTGTTTGTTTGTCGAGGTCCAGGCCACAGAGCTCTTTGGCTACCTTGCACGCAGAGTTGAAAATGTGCGTGAGGTTTGCCTCGGATTCGGTATCAACCAGAGCTTGGAGGAACGGCTCCTGTGTGCCGGTGTATGCCTCAGCCTTTGCAATGTGCTTTGGCCCGGCCCAAGTCTTTCGCATGGAGGAGCTTGGCACCAGAAAGGACAGGGTCACCACACTGTAGTGGTTGGAGACCAATTTCTGCTTTGCGTCCACCACAAGCTTCAGCAAATGGCCTTGGCCCGCTTTGGCCCTCTCCAGCATGCCGCGGCAAGTCCACAAGATGCACACGCGGTCTTCGCCGATATGCGCTCCATCCAACACTTTGAGCTCATGCAATGGCAGGTCTCCCCAACCGGCTTCTCGATGAACAGTTTTTGCGTCCGCGACGCTTTGCAGTTGCGCAATCGGCAGGCGGCCTTTCGCAGACCCTGCGTTTCGTGAGCGATTCACTCTGGCAACGTAGGCATGCAGCTGCGCCTTTTTGCACCGGAGTTGCAACCCTTTCCTTTTCAGGGCATCTCGTACCATTCGGGAGGTGATGGGGCCGTCGACGGGACATGCTTCTGCCAGCGCATGTAGTTCCGCGCAATTCCATAGGCTTTCTCCTTGTGGTTTTGCCAACACACCATGGACACCTTCTGCCCGCAGGTGTACAGTTGCGGTGTCACCTTCAAATTCAAATTTAGCGTAGACACGCCTGGTGCATCCAGTGTAAGAAGGACGGCAACGAGCCTCCAATCGTCGACCAGTATGGGTGGCACCACGGTCTTTGAAGTTGTAGACTCCAATGTCTCCTTTTTCCGCTAGCAAGCGCGAAACTACATCTTTGAAGACAACATATGAATCAATATGTCGTGGCGGCGGCCCTGAGTACAAGACTTCTGGCGGCACTTTGTCTGGGTCTTCTTCTTCCCTCTCCTTGTCTTGTGAATTGTCCAGTATAGGCGCAGAACTCGAGGGCCTTGGAGCCATGCGGTCATCAGGCAACAACGGCTCGGGGAGGTCATGTTGCGTCAGAGACGCTGGGATGTCCTCGGCGCTTCTATCCAGCAGGACTGGCCTGGGGAACCCGCGGAAAGAAAAGATAGGAACCTGCAAGCGAATGAGTGTTTTGCGAACTTCTGGGCGCAAAGTGCTCCATTCAGTCTTGACAAAAAATGGCCATCCACTTGTCCTATCGTGCAGCGTGAATCCAAAACCCTCGCACTCCATGTAGGTGAACAGCCGCTGCAACCGAACCCTTGCCGAAGCTCGCTGTGAGACGTCCGAGCTGAAGGCAAAGCGATATCTGGCAACTGCGAGAGCAACCGCGTCCGCGCGCAGCACTTCCTCTGTGCATGCTCGCAGTACCCGCGCGGAATCATCCTGCAGAGTGCTTTGGTTAGTTGCTTTCTTTCCAAAGGCACCAACGAATTCTCGGACATGGCCCCCTTCACGTCCTCTCCACGATGCCCGGCTCACTTCAACATCCACCATATTGTACCCACGGGCCTCAGGAGCGCAAGGAAGGACACCGAACATCTGCAAGCATCACCGCAATCTATTTGAGTTACACAATTGTGCCTGCTTCCAAGTTCGAAATTCATTGATAGACTTTAGAAAATATTTTTCTGAGTCCTTGTCACCAAGCGTCGAGACGAAGGTACACGAACTGCAAAGCGCTCTTGCACTCCAATTCTTGGATCAATGCATCATCTGGAGGGATAGGAGTACCAGACAGGACGCAGTTGTCCGCAGCGCGCAAAATAGCATTGCTTAAAGCTTCATGCGTCAGCCACGAGGGCATTTTTTCCAACATCGAATGCAAGCTCCCATGATCCGCAAAAGTCTTGTCTTGCGCTAGCTCTGTCCCAATGGCTCGTGCTTCCAAGAACGAAGATGCGGCGGCTGGCGGCAAACGAAAAGGTCTAGCCGGGCGCGACCCACACCCAAAGTGTTTAGCGACAGTGCGAAGAAGCAAGACTAAATATTCCTGAATCTTTTGCGCAGCTCCTCTCACAGCGCCGACCTCCACTGGGCGCCTGCCAGCGCTGAAGAGAAACCGGTTGGTCAGGCCCTTTTTCCATCGTGCCTCTCCTTGTGCCCACCATGACTGGAGCATTGAGATCTGCTGGAAAAAAACGAAGCTCAGATTGGTACTAGTATGATGCACGCTCTTGTCCACAACTTGCTCCGCTTGGCGTGCGTTGCGTTGTTTCGCTAACACATCTGCCTGGGTTGTCCAATGAATAGCACCTCCCGTTGCACCTTCCAGAGCCCGCTCCAAGTCAATGTGGGTGCTTTTGTTGAATTCACCGGAGCTGGGAAACTTTGGGCACAGAGTTGTGGCGGCTTCCGGGCTAGCCAGCAGAGCATAGCCATCGGCTCTGTTCAGACGAGCGCCAAATGCTGCATGTGTGCTATCATTTACAATATGGAATTCTTCTGCAGCATTGCCCGGGAAGCAATCAGCAAGATCATCTAGCGACATTGCCTTTCGCAATGTCGTCATAACAAACTCCAGTGCTGGGCTCTTACCTGCTCCAGGATCGGATGCGATGACAGCCCAGTATCTCTGTCGCAGACAATAATCTTGCCACTCCACAGCAATATCCTTGTGCAAAAGGCTGCTGAGTATCACTTTAAAGGCATCCCACAACATGATCAGCGGCAAAGACAGCACGCGCGACAAGCTAGTCCAAACCACGGCCATATGCAGAGGCATGGTTCGCCACAGCGGTAGAAAGACCTCAATCTCGTTGCAGCACTCCACTGCATCTTGCTTTACATCCAGCAACCCGAGCTTGAAGTCGTTGAGGCAAACTTCCCAGTCAATCTCACCGGTCCCTTCAATGGCTGCTGGGACAGCCCGCAACGCACCCACGACACTTCCTCCATCTCGCAGGGTTCGGCAGAAGTCTGCCACGTACATCTCAAATTGTGCACTTCTGTCAACATGACTAGCAGCAAAGGTGCTGCATAAGTTTGCCTGCAAAGGTTTCTCCATCTCGTCGTCGAGACGGGGCAAACACAATCGACTCGGAGCAGCTTGGTTGAGCGACTCGGTGCGTAGTTCCTCTGCAGCCACGCACGCGACCATCTCCTGCAGCAGCTCGCTCTGTCCCGCAGTGCTCCGCGCGGGCGGCAAGGTGGCTAAAGCCTCCGCCGGGCCGACATTCCTGCCGTCCAAATCTTCGCACCCGACGGATGCTGCTGGCCATCCCTCACCCGGCAGCTGTGCAAAGTCGCTGGAATGCTCTTCAGAAGAATAGACTCCCAGGACAATGTTGCGCCAAACTGTCTCTGGCAATTCCTCGAACCAGTGGACCGCAGTGTCGTCAAACCGCAGCCATCCATCGCCGTTGCGAGCCCACGCTACAAAGTGCCCAGCCCTGGCTTCCCCAGCATGGGACAGATGCTCAACAATAGCCGCCAAAGTAAAGTTCTTGCTCCCAAGGTCCAATGTCTCCGGACACACCACTCTATCCTCGTTCCGACGCTGTACCCCGTCCACTCCAATGTGCCCTGCTCGAGGGAACCCGAAAATGGGCGCAGAACAAATTCCTTCGAGGGATACACGTTGCTTGACGGTGCAGGTTTGCGCACACTCGTCACAACGGACTCCTTCATCCAGGGTTCTCTCCGCCCACTGCTGCCGCAAAAGCTCCGGCACATGGCTGCAAGTAGGCGATGTTTCGAGCGCCACTCCAGGCCATGCTTCCACAATGCCGGGCCCGGCTCGCACATCGCAAGCTGCCCTCGTGCACTGTGCGTTATAACAAGTCTTCGTAGTCGTTCTGGAAAGCTGCAGTGTCAAAAGGGTGTCTTTGCAGCATGCATTGTCCTAGCAGCGGGTTCCACATAAGTCACCCACTCACAATTTATGGGTTCCAGAGAGAGCTAGTCTACAGTTTAGGGACTATTCCAACACTTGCGTTGATGCGGGTCTGGTTCATGACTTCATATGCAGTTATAACAACCTGCGCTCCCACGTCTGCCCCTTGACTCTTGACCACCCCTCGTCCTGTGTCAACGCTTCACACAGAGCATTGGCAAAGAGGAGTGCGCTGTCCTGGCTGTGTCCGTCAAAACCATGATTCTGGAGAAAAGCGAGCCATGGCTGCATATCTTCAGCCGTGGCAGTTCGTGTCTGCAACACAGTGTTCATTTGCCGCAGCAGCTGCCACGTGCATGTTTCCGATCCGCAGCCTGTCGAGCACTGCGCCACACACCGGTGGATCGCCGGCGTGCGCAACAGCGCTTGAAGCACAGCATTCACAAAGCAAGTGCTGCCAAGGTTGAAGATACCAAATTTACCTGGGGATATCGACTCCTGCTGCGTGTGCTTCTTCTCCGGGCACGGGACAAGCCCATATCTCACACGACACCACCCCACCGCACCCCAGAGCTTCTGAAAGTTCACCGACTTTTCCAGCCGCGCCACATCTGCAAGCCATAAGCCCCACGTCTTTTTGTAGGGAAGTGCCCGGTGGACACCATGCTGCGGCCGCAGCTCCGTGAAGCGAGCATAGTCGAGCCGTTGGCATAAGGTGATCTGCGCGCGGCCATAAATAGTGCTGCGGCAGGCTAGCCAGACATTGCCAACCTGCGCCGACTTTCCTCGAAGCTCCAAGACCTTGCGCCCGTCCAAAATCTCCTCGAGCCACTCTGACTTCAACACCATAACCCGCTCATTCACCGCAGGCGTCTCAGTGATTGTCGTCCTGTCACCCACCGGCCCACTGGATCCTCCTAATACATCCCTGTCCGTGCCAGTTGCATCGCTTGCGTCACTGTCCGGACTAGGAAAGGACCATGCAGACGTAGGCGACTGCACTTCCTTGGTTTCTCCAATGGTGACATACGCCCGCGCCGGACCAAGCTGCAGCAGAAACACGTACTCAGTAATGTTCACCTCCATTCCTGACAGGGTTGCAGTGGAGAGCAACCTCTTGCCCGCTCTTCCTGCAGAGGCCGCCAAAAATTCGACTGCTTCCTCATTTCCAGAGTTGTTACGCAGCCATTGCTGCAACAACGGCCCCTTCAAGGTGCAGCGTTTGGAATCCTCGAAAAACATGTCTTCCAAGCTTTGGCTGCAGCCAAAATCCCAACGCAGCCGCGGCAAGGCAGCCTCGGTCATTGTCGGACCGCGGAGGCGCTGCGTCATCAATTGCCACAGGCCCTTTTCCAACACATTGGCTTCAAAGGAATCCCATGCATCCCGCAGGCACCGCAGACTTTCATAGTGTCTTTGGCTGACTGCTCGCAGGTGACACAACGTCTCTAAAGGCAAAGCCCGCCACCAGTTCTCTTTCCAGACCACGTCCACAACTGCGGAGAACGCAGCTGCACCCACCACATCAACAACATCGCCCTGGGCACCGTGACGTGGATCGTTTAGCTGTGGGGCAAGTTTGAAGATGCCTTCAACATGACGAATGGAGAGTTGCCAGCTGCGCTCCTCTCTATTGTACCAATAAAGCGCACCTGGCTCGTCGCATCCCCAAAGGATGCTGCATGGCTCCCACGAGTGCGTTCGATTGTGGAAATTGATTTCCCAACAGCCATCCACTTGTCGCAGTGCCACGAAATGCCCCTTGGTCGCCACTATGAGTTTCTCTTGCTTCATGCCCACGCTGAGGTCAGTAGCACAAAGTGGCAGCAGCGTAAACCTCAGTCGACAGAGAGACACATGATTTGACTCGAGGGACTCTGCATGACACCCTTGAACCCTGTCCGGTGTCACGGTGTACTTGGCCAGGCAGCTTCCACGGTTCCAAGAATCTGCGGCCGTCACGAAGCGCTCGAAATGGACCGTCGCGTTCGTAGGGCACGCGAAAGCCATGACAGCGCAGCGCGTCCACCAGACACACATCCACCCAGCGCCTGCACGGGTCAAGTTGCGGAGCTCCAATGCTTGACATCTCTGTGTCACACTTACACCGCGCACTCTCGCCTGCGAGTGGCGGATGCTGGGGAAAAGTGCAGCCTCCGGATCGAGACAGTCTCTGGCAATGTCGTTCGTGACTCTCGTATTAAACTAACGTGCTTGGCTCCTCGAAGCTGCGTGATGCGTCTTCCATGATGTCACTTTATTGCCTCAGGCGAGCCACAACAACCACCTCACACTGTGGTACAAGCTGCCGCCAAGGCACGTCTGCGAGCGCACCGCCGATAGAATGCGGGCCTCACTCGTACCGACCCACGTCATCGACCAGCATCTATCCCGCAGACACAAGGATCCCCCTTCACTCCCGCCTGCCCACTCGATACCAATTCCACTCTGACAGCGGTGACAGACGCCTTGTACTGGTGGAGCAGCAACGTCGTACGATGCGCCCGACCAAGTGTTCGCCTGCAAGTCAACATTGGAAAAATCCTGTAAATATATACACACACACTTCACTCCGTATATCTCGCATCCACAACGAACCCTACAATGCAAGCAAAGCACACCACCCCGAATCTGCCCACATGGACTTGCAAGCGCACTGCATCTTCTTCCCAAAGCCGCAATTCTTCCCTGGAGCACATGGCACGTATATCTCCCGTGTAAGACACCAGCAGCTATCTCTCTACCTCCTTTTCGCTTCCGAGCTGCATAGCAAAGATCCTCCATCGGCACCTCCCTCGTGCTCGCGCAACGCCCGGGCGGCCAACGCGGCCACAAAGTTGTCGCCTTGGTTGCCCGTCCTCGATACTATAGCGCCTGTTGCTATACTCATCGAGTCTCAGAATACGCCCGGCCATTCTTGTCCAAGTCTCACCAAACACTGCTTGGGCGTAGATCTCCCAAGAAAAGGATGAATCCTGAGCAGATCCGTGGCGACCGAGGCTGAAAGCTACTCATTGGACACGACTCCCCGCGCCTGGTTTGTCTCTCTTCAGGCGCCTGCATATGGGTACGCAAAAATAGTCACCTCAACCGCATACGATTCCGCTGCGTCCGCGGTCATCGAATCTGTTTCCTCTTTGCTTGCTACCACGCCACACCAATGTGCGCTGAAGTCATATCTCCACCCTTCGTCCGTGCCTGTGTTCATGCTGGCGCCTGCGCAGGTACAACTGGCCACGCTCCCGGCCATAATCTCCCCGCGTGCAGCCTCGCCTGGACAACCGTCGTCCTGCCCAGACGTCTTATAACCTCACGCCATCAAAAACACGACGCTTAGAGTCGTCTGCTCCACATCTTCCTTTAAAACGTTGTGTGGGCACAAGCTACTTATTCATGCCTTGCCAAGCTGCAGAGCAAACATCCGCCATCATAACCTTCCCCGTTCTCCGCGTCTCCCCGCGTCGCCAGAGCGGGCACAAAATTGTCGCCTGCGTTAGGTCCAGGTGAGGATGTGCAACGACAGTTGGTGAGCATGTTCTTCCTTTGCTTTGCAATATGCCATAAGTTGCATGTTGACGCCAAGTTTCACCTATATCACTCACTGCTTAGACGTGGATAGCTAGCAGACCTATGCCGACAGGCACATTGGACTGTTTCTCTCTCTTAAGGCGCTGACAAATGGGAACGCAAAAGTCCTCGCCTCAGAAGCACCCGATTCTGCGGCGTCCGCTCCAAGCCAAGTCTTTCTTCCTCCCTTGCTTCCTTTTTTGCTTGCCACCAAGAAACTCCAAGGTACGCCGACATCCTGTCGCCACCCTTCGTCGGTGTCCGCGCTCATGGTTGCGCCTGCGCGTCGACGCGCGGCCCTACACTCTCTACATCTGCCCCTGCGTCCACTGCCTTGGCACGATTCGCAGTGTCCAGACGTCTTACAACCTCGCATCGTGCCCCACCCACTGGTCTATTAAAATCATCCCCTACCTCTTGAATCAACACTTTTTGGAAAAGCACAGGACTTGGCGCAGGGTACTCATTCCACGCCTTGGTGGTCTTCCTGTAGGGCTGCTTCTCCCATACCTCATACCGTGCCCCCGCCGCCGCAAGAGACGCAAAAGCAGTGGAAGCTACACGCATCAGGTGCACGTCGCCTCCGGGAGTTCCAAACCACGCAGGAAAGTATTTGGCCATTCCAAGCCTCGGGCCACTTCCGATGTGGTACCGTATAGATCTACTAATTATTCTTCCTTTGTTTTCGCTGCCAGCTTGGTCTTCCACCGCTGTACAGATCGCACCGACTCTCCTATATATTCCTCGATTTATCCGCTTCGTTGGAGCATCAAAAACTGCAAAAGGATCTGAAAGGTGCTATCAATGTGTGTATGCACTGTGTGCTTTCCACGGAGGTTAGTCTGCAATCACCAACGCTTCTCGACCTCTTACAGATCGTCTTATTATTCTCTTGACTCTCAGCGGTGTTTGCGCGCGTCCGACCAGTGATCACCCAGGGAGCCAAGGGCTGCCGGCAACATGGCAGCGCCAACAACTTGCCACCACATTGTCCGAGCCCGCCACGAGGATGTCCACTGGGATCTCACCAGCCGCCACAGCGTGCCCACCCCACTCCTACGTTGCGGTTACTCACAAAACCTCCAGTAACCACACACGCTCCACCTTGCGCGCGCGCCGCTCCCCACGCACTCCGCGCCGCTCCCCCCGCGCTCCGCTCCCCACACGCTCCGCTCCCCACGCGCTCCGCTCCCCATGCGCAGCTTCCCTTTGCCTTTCCGCCCCACCTCCCGCCCCCGCAGACCGTCCGACGTTCTTTGCGCAATCAGCGCCTCGCACTGCTCCCAGACATGCTGGTGGACGCGCTGCGCCCCCCCCCACCCCCCTTGCGCCAAGAAAGCTGCACTTCATCTCCGGCACCCGCGCCTGCCACGTTATCAAGTGTCTTTGCAGGTGAACTGCCCGGGGCAAACCTTTCTAACCAAGCAAATATGCCTCCTGTGCTAGTTCTCTTTCTCTTTGCTCTTTCTCTGCTCTCTGCTAACTGCACCAAACTGTTGTGATAGGTCGGACTTTCTCTGACACCTACACCATTCCAATGTATTTCGCCAGCTTTGACAGCTCCCAAATCTGTCTACCTATCCATCTACCTGTCTATACCTATCTGTCTATAATATCTACGTGTCTATACCTATCTCTCTGTCTGTCTATCGCTCCATCTCTCGATGCGTTGCAGAGAAGAAACCAAGCAAGCAAGCAAGCAAGCAAGCAAGCAAGCAAGCAAGCAAGCGCGAGCTGCTCACCTTTGGATCTGGTGCGCTGTGCGCGCACCGCTCCCCACGCACTCCGCGCTGCTTCCCACGCGCTCCGCTCCCCACACGCTCCGCTCCCCACGCACGCTTTCACTGCACCTTTTCCGCCACCTCCCGCCCCCCAGTTCGGACGTTCTGTGCCAACCGTCGTGGTTGGAGTTACACGTTCCAGCGCGCGCTGCGATGGGAGTTGGTGGCAGGACTTGACTTGGGCCATTTATGTCCTTATCTTCAACGCACACACACACACACACCTACATCCACTGCAATCCACGAGCTCGCTCCACACCATGCAACAATATCACGTAAGGTCAACTGCCTTCTAAACCCGCCTTCGCCCTAGCCAGATTGACACCTTTTCACGCAATGCGCTAGCCACCGTCTTCAAGGTAAAGTCTCGCGACTAGCGAGCTAGTGCGCCAGCAGCCGATGCCAGGAGCCCCTGGTGGCGTCCTTGCTCGTGCCAGGACCCCCTGATTAGTAGCGTACTAGTTCCTCCTCCAACGATACCAAGGCCCCTAGTAGCATCATTGCTCCTAGTAGCGATGCCAGAAACCTTGAGCGGCGATGCCAGTTCCTGCTCGGAGGCCCTAGTAGCGTTTGCTTCACTCGTGGTGGTCACATTCAGTCCACCGAGACCACAGGTGCCCCGCTCCGGCGACATGCCACCCTCACATGAGGATGGTGCGGAAAAGAAGATACGAGGTGTCTGTGCGCGCTGGTGGGGATATTTGTATTCATCTGTTAAACAAACGCAATTGATATATATATATAATATAAATAAATACACATATATATACATATATATATATATACGTCTAAGACATGTACTCGCCACTGCCGCGCCATCTCCCTGTTCTACATCTCGCCACCCTTCAGCAGAGAGAATGAACGTGGCACATTTGGCGCCTTCTCGTACGCAGGCTCGCCTGCACGGTGTGCTTCAATTTCCGGGGGAGCACTGTCAGGCAAAACCACTGTCTGGTTAGCCTTCATTCATAGGCCGGCTCTGTTCATCAATTATGGGTCACACTGTGCGGAGCTATCTCGCCTCTGG